GAGATACTATTGATTGATTAAAACTAATATCATCAAGTGAAATATCCCTTATTTCTTGAGCTATCCTATATTGACTTGGAACATCAAGGGTTTTCCTATAATCTAAAATTATTCTAAATTCTTTATCTTTGATTCTTTGCTTGTAAAAACTCGTGTTCTTTTAGGTTTCCATTGTTCATTTAATTTATTTAAGCTTTATTTGATTTATAAACAATGGATAAAATCGTTAAATTTGTTATTTTAACATGCTTCAAAATATTAAAAAAAGTTAATTTGTCATTTCATTTCGTCATACCTCCCTAAAATTCCCAAAATATCATTATCTTTTCTCACGATCTATCTTTTGAGCGATTAAATTATCAAATTACTTGCATTAATAATAGTTTAACAAAAAAAATTCAATTGAAAAGAAAATTATTATTTTTTAATCGTTCTCTTATTACATATAATATCAGATTCTTATAAAATAACTGACAGTGATCTGCATCTTTCTCGTTATTATATAATATGCAGTATTTTTTATTGTCTAACACGTTATAGTTAAAAAGATAATTTTAGGGGTAAATTTTTTGAAGTGTAGAATTCTGAAGAATTCGGAATATTCTTTCGGAAAAACACATGATTATGGTTTAAGCACAAGCCACAGATCAGCCTAAAAGGGTAATTCTCGGTGGCGAATTTTTTTATCTTCGGAAGTGTAGAATTCCGAAAAATTCAGATTTTTTTTTCGGGAAAATACTTGATTATTTACATATTTCCGTAATTATTTACGCATTTCCGTAATTAATTACGTATTTCGTAAAATTGGACGAATATTCCGAAATATTTACAGCAATTAAGAAATACGTAATTCCTTATTACGAAATTAATTTCGGCTACTATAATCGCCTATGCTAATTAAGTGATAATTTCAAATCTTATTCGTTACCATTGGTAACAGTTTTTTTGTCACGTGATAATTTCGAATGGACTTGATTTTTAGCTGACTCACGTAGAAATTTCTTCTCCTTATTGTGTTGCTTTATTTCACTACTAACGATTTTCTTATGAGCCTCAAGTAAGAAACTATCCATGTCTTTCTCTTCCAACGATTTGCTATTAAGATGCTTCGCAGAGTTGGTAGGTACTGTTATCACCTCTGATACTGCAACTAAATTGAAGCTAGGTGAACTGTTGTTAGAAGAATTATCATTTGCCGTTAAGGTGCTTTGCAGAGTCTGCTTCTATTCCACTTTCATAATTCTATCTCCAAACTCAGATTCCATCTCCTTGATTCTAGCCCTGAGTTTGGCATTTTCAGCATCACGCCTCTTGTTATATTCCTTATTCGCTCTTAGAAATTCAGCATTCCTGCGCTTAAGTTCAGCTATTTCAGCATCAGATACTGAGAGCTTGATTCTAAGACCGGAGATCTCAGTATTCTCCTTCCTAAGCTCTGCATTCTCAGCCTCAAGTTCAGTGATACGCTGTCTCAATAATCCAAGCTCAGATGACATGATCTATAATATATAAAACTAATACACTGTATATAAGCATTCAAAATAAAAAAATATGTGTTTTTGGCTGGGGCCCTGGCTGAAATTTTTTATTAATACATGCAAAATTAAATACAAAGTTCGGGACATAGCCCGTGATATATGACGTCTATCTAATATACATGATTATTTGCACGATAACCAATTTTCTATCTATACTTAATTATCTACCTGATCGTTTCTTATATTTTTTTCTCCAGTCCTTCTCAAATTTCTTAAAAGCTTTAGTAAAACCTTTTTCCTTTTGAAACCCCTTCCGTATACCAAATATTTCTTGAACAAGAGGTGCTAAATCGTGAGATGAACATAAATCTGTCTTTTGATATAATGATAATTCAAAAAGTTTAGAAATGGAAAGACCAGACGCAGTGGGAAAATTAAGGATATTTTTGATTTCTTTTTCATCAAAATATACTTTTGAAAAGTAAAAAATCGCTGTTTGGTCCATATGAAGACGCATTTCAGCATCTTTATTATCACCCATAATTAGCAGATCATTAAGAAAAATCTTGATCTTGAGAAATAAAGCATTAGAATGTAACTTCTTTAACTCATTTTCATAACACATAGAATTTTCACATATTGAAGAAAAGAATTCAAGCATTTCGTCCACACCTTTGTTAATTAGCATGAATCAATTTTTAAAATCTAATTCAAATCAAATACTAGTTAAAGCACAGAGAAACACACCTTTATGGCCACGTAATATATATCAAGTCCAAGTCGGTCGAGTGAGTTGGATAGATAATAACTTCCCATCCTTTGTTTCCACCTTTAATGGGATGCTAAATAAATTTACTCCATCATGTAATTTTGATGAGACATAGGTAGGGAACAATGTCCAGTTGACAGCTATATTTTCGATTATCATAATTTCTGACGGATCTGATTCTTTAATCGGAATTTGTGTAAATGGTTCTTTAACATTTTCTAACGAAGTTGTTATCAAGTTATTGTAACTCACTCTATAAACAGGGGGGTTTCGAAAATATGTGTATTTTCCGTTTCTTTCAAGTATGGCAATATGTCCGTTTTATTTTGGAACATCTATAGAGGCGGGAAAATTGATTAACATCGTGATGACATGTTTCAAGAAGCTAGCCGAGCAATAAACTAACTTACTTTATTATTTACTTTGCGGAATATACGGGTTCGTTTAATTGTAAATATTGATGATGTTAATAATGGTAAGTTTGAATGATTTGAATTTTTTTGCTTGATTTTATTTTACTTGCATGAGACAGATAAAAGGATTCACTAGCCGGGACATCGCCTTTTTATACAATTTGCAGGATCGATCTTAGAATACGCTTTTGGTTAATACGAACACATCATGAAAATCTGATCAACGGCTTCTCCTTAATTTAACAATAAAAAACTTTGATGCTACCCATATGTAAAGATCATCAAGGCTCTTTTTTCAATAATAATATATGTAAAATTTTTGAGAATATGCGAGAAAGTTTTGAGAATAAATTATTTTTGCGCAATTACTTATTCCCGTGATGTGTTATATCTATATTTAATGTTACTGCGTGTTTATCGAGTTCTGGATTAATGATTTCGTTGCAAAAAGAATACACGCTCACTTCACTTCCCACAATCCCATGGCCCATCCATTATATATCTGAATTTGGTAAATTAATTACGTCTTGTTTTATTGGTCGTACGAAAAAAAATACATAATACAGGTCGAAGACTGATGACATTAGATGAAAGTAGACAGAGTCAAAAACTTATACATTTGCTTTTGACGATTAAAAAAGCACCACATTAGAAATATGGTTCAGATACAAATGATGAAATAATTTTAGTGTTGAATACGGTCTTAAATTACTTATTTTTTGCGACCTTTTTTTTACCTCCCTCTTTTGATCCCAGAATCCTACGTATATCCTGATAAGATCTATTGCCGATGGCAAAAAGGTCACGTTGTTCAGGCACCGGAGGGTATGTTATCTACAATTGCGAGATAATATGAGATTATGAATTGTTGACAATACATTACTAGCGACAACTCACATTCTCTTTTTCCTTGATAAACTTCGTTATACTTGTAAAATACTCATTTTCATACTCAATATATGCCCATTCTTCTGCCACTTTCAAAGTGGTAATCTTAATATTATTATATAAAATGTCATCGCCTTTACTAACGATTTTTTCACTATATGCGAGTTGTAATATGGAGTTCTCTGTTAAGGACGAATTAAGAAGTTAAGAAAAAAAAGGTGTAGTCTTTATTGTAATTAGATAGAGGTCTTACCGGCACGACTTTTGTTTTTTTTTAATGTGGTTAGCATTTCGGAGAGTCGACCAAAATTATCCATTCCCTCTAAAAAATAAAGCTTTGTGTTAACATGTCTTGGTCAAAAACGTAACGATGATAAAACTACTCACCTTCGAAACTGAAATGAATATTCTCAAGGTTTTCAGTTAATTCTTTAATTTTTTCTTTCAAATTTTGATTAATTAAATAATTTGAGGTAAAAATAACATGAGTAAATCCTTCTTCTAAATTACCCCAATATTTACTAATAAGGTTTGTTCCTCTATACCCTTACTTTCATCGTTTTGTAGACGAAGGCTCGAAAACTTGTCTACATCGCTATTAGAGATATTAACCTTCCAGAACTGTAAATCTAGATCACCGTCATCAATATCGTAACAGATGTCGTTTTTTAACTCTCTAACTTTTTCTTTGATTTTCTTTCCCAAGTTCCGAGACAGACTCTGATTCGTCAATATCAATGGGAAATGCTTCAGAATTTTCTTCTACTTCGTGAAAGAAGCGCCAGGTTAAATTTCTTTTTGTCATATTTCTGTAAGGATTACCCATTATTTCAAGTACCGTATTTATAATTCAATTTCAATTACTAACCTCTTCACACTTACCCACGCACATTCTACATTCGGGGAAAGATTTCCCCATCCACACTTGTTTCCTTTGTAATCACTAAAACACTAACTAATAATATGCTTAATTCCTGCGGACAATAGGAAATAGGGGATTATCCATTTTGGTATGATAAGCACTTTGCAAAGATATATAGTAAACTAACTCATGTAGATCTCGGAGAGTGTAAAGTTTTCAACTCTTCACAACATATGATTTTTATTGTTAACACCACTAAGAATCGGCAGACCCTAGTTATGTTACCTTCGTTATGTAGATTTATATAGCCCAATTTATGAATTTAATGCGCTAATCCCAATAAGCTAAATAAAAATCTTCCGATCTAGATTCTATTTCGATTAGTGAAAAACTGCTTCGTATGACGAAATTCTCCCATTTTTTACCTCTTTCGGATTTGTATAAGCCACACATTACCCCTGCAAGAATATCTTCTGCGCATTTCAGGTGATCGATTCCACATGACGAAGTTTCTAGGCCACCCACGTGATTCAAAAAAAGAAACCGCTATAGTGATCCACCTTAAAATTCACCTAGGCGAGATAATAGGACTCATCATTGGTGAAACCTTCCTTTCATATCTTCCATCACGATAGTAATAACCTCAATCACATTCACCCTATTCATTATATCCACCATATCCATCATATCCATCATCACCCGAATCATCTGGCATCTCTTCTTCAGAATCATCGGAATCTGAGTCATCATTGATTGAATTGGGGTTGCCATCATCCGCCCTTCTTGATCATCAGGTAATTCAGTGTTGGGATTCTTGGAGAAATAATCAACAATAGTTTGAATTTGACTATCAGATAATTCCGATATAGAATTCGCACAATACGTTTTGATATACTTGATTTTATCAATTCCTATTTTTTATTTCTTACCGAACAGCATTAGCAAGTTTTTTTCTTGACTCCATGTGAATTAACGCAAGTTGGAAAGAGAATAATAAAAAAAAATACGAAGACAAAAATCAAAGCTTGGGTATTTATAATTCTATATGAATTTTTTTATGCATAACGACAATCTATATAGTATATAACTAGTATATACCATTTAAATTACTAACAACGAGAGCGTGACCCAGGGGTCACAGTTTCCTTATTTCATGTGTTTCACAAATATTTGTATCATAATTATAACATGTAGATTCCGATCAAAAAATAGTCTGTATAGGAATACCACTGAGTAGTTGATAACGATTACTACGAGTTATATATATCAAGCAATACAGCTTTTATGAATAGTATAATAAAGATGTACCAATCTCCACCAATGAACAGTACTACCTATAATTGTTATTTAACTAAAGATCAATAGTTCCGGAATGAAATATTGTAGAGTTTTTAATGTAAACATTTCTCTTGAAATGGTGATCAACGAGGAAGAAGGGCAAATATATTCAGAGCGGTAATTACAAAGTAGTATCAGTATAGCCTTTTTTTATTCCTTTATAATTTTCTTCATTTCATTCAGAAAATCATAAAGATTTCTTTGTATACGCTTTGTTTTTTGTTCATCTACGTAATGGAGAGTTAAAAAAATGTATAAAAAGCGGCAAGACGCTCATAGAACAGATCCATGATGAAGAAAATGGAAATCGAACAATTAATGTATATATCCTGATCTTAGCAATTAGTATGAAGTTAGGAACATGTTTTGTGAGACAGATTATTGAGTATCTATATTTTTGACTCCGAAAATGTATTTATATTTTTGTTACACTAATGTATAATATAAATAAATGCAATAGACTTTTTTATTAATGCTGCTTCTTCAGCCAATCAAGTACACCCCTACAATATAAAATTACATGCAAAGATTACGTCGTATTGTTCTTTGAACTTCCCAGAGATCCAGATTAAATCCAGCAGCAAACCCTGCAGGAGGTGTGTTTGGTGCAATAGGAAACCCTGCGGGAAGTAAGTGTGCTGGAACTCCGTTAAATAATTCTGGTCCAGGAATATTCATTTGATAAACGGGAAGATTGGCTGCATTGCAAGGAGGAAAGTTATTATTATTGTTATTAGGATCAGGACGCCCAACACCAATAAAGCTACCAGGAGGAACACCCATTTGATTAATAATATAGTTTACAGTATTTGTGTCAGGGTTTGCTGTCCCAAAAGAAATGACACTAGTTGGAATCAGCGGAGTTGCGCTTGTACGAAGGTACAATGCAGCAATTAGTGCAACAGTACTAGTATTCGTATTAGGGTCTACACGTTCTCCAAATATCTTGATGGCTAATACAATCTGGATTGTGGTTCGTGGGTTAAAGTAGAGAGCGGCTGTTCGATGAAGGTCAGGAAGACTCTGAGAAAAACCAACCTCAATCATCATTGTTGGATATGCTATATCCTTGTCATTTGCACCCTGACCCGATCCAGCTGGTGGGTCGGGACGATGTGCTGGTCGGACCCAACTATCAGGTTCCTTTGCAGCGTTTTGACCCAGAATCATGGTTGCGTCAGTACCATACTCCAAATCCTGGTCATTCCATCTATTCATCAATCCTGTAATACGTCCTATTGCTGCTGAATGAGCAAAGGAAGGTACTTCATATATTTTGATATACCCGTTATATAGATACATGCGAACTGAAGAAATCGCATTATTTTCACGATATTGGAGATATTTTTCAAGAGACACATTTTCTTTTATAACTATTTCCCTCGATCCTGTATATCCTTCTTCTTCCTCTTCCTCCACTTCTTCCCCTTCTTCTCGGGCTTTTTGGAATGTGAGCAATTTTTCTCTTGCTGAATTAATAGCCGCGGATGATAAGTGAAGCCTTTTCTCTCGTGTAGGCTGGAGAGTAAGTTGACTAGACAGGGAAGAAAGTTGACTAGAGTCACTAGGCTGAGAGATAAGTTGACTAGACTGTCGACTAGACTGTTGACTAGATTGTCGACTAGACTGTTGACTAGATTGTCGAGACTGGGAACGCGTGACGCGATAAGGAAAATAACGAACTCCTGAGTCTGAAATTACAGCACTAATTAATAGCTTTGTTAGATGAGAAAACTGTTAAATTCCTATAATCTTACCATCTGTATTATCTGTATTGCTGTGAGAACCCGAGGCCATAATTTATATATTTTAAGAGGATTGTTAAGAGATTTCTTCGAAACAGAGATATTTAAAGAACGATTGTCTCACGGATTTGGTAATGATCACATGATACCAAACATAATAAGTTGTATTGTTTTATTCATCTGATTATTATTATTACTGATCAATTAATTGTCTGCATGTCCGAATAGCTTCATTTACTATTCCGACTTTAAATATATAACATAAGTATTAATTGTCTGTTTATTATATAGTAATTACAGTAAATACGCTAATTAGAAACGCGTAACGCGTCCTAATATTATTATTTGATATTTATTGTTAGGAGAACGAGAAAGTTGTAAAGTACGAAATTTCTTTTGATATTTATTACTAGAAAGTTATAAGGTATTTGATTAGGAAGGATTACTAAGAAATCAATCTCTCTCCGAAATTTTCTTTTGTTTCCGTGTTTGAATTTAAGATTTTTTGAACACATGATTCTTATATTCTTAGTATGACAGATGAGAATCGTTACTAAAAAAAAAACTAATGTCATTTGTTAATTCAGACTGCCATATTTCATTTTACGTAGGACAAAAATTTATTATTGATAATTCTCTGTGATCTCAATGTTGTCAACGTAAACGAGAAGCTTTCTCTGGAATTTTGTAATACGCAGAAATAACTTTAAAATAAGTACATTGTAAGACAGCTGAGTCAGAGATTATGGACCATACATAGCAATTTTTGGTTAACTTTGACTACGAGTTATGCAATTAAAAAAATATGTATAGATGTATTAGTTATAATATCTGTCTTGCTTACACTTATGAAATAATACCCTTCATGCATTCCTGTTATTTATCTGGTTACTCAAAGATGGACACTAATATTATTACTTGTGTACAACGGACTTTTCGAAGAAAAGGCAGTGTCAATGGGGGGACGCTGTAAGGACCGGTTAGTTTCGGGACATGTCATAGCAAGAAAGTTATTGTAACTCACTCTATAAACGGGGGGTTCGAAAATATGTGTATTTCCGTTTCTATTAAGTGTGGCAATAGGACTTACAGTACAATAAAAGGGGGGAGATTTAATGATTGATAATTACTGGGGAAATTGGTCATTAAAACATTTGGGAGAGCAAAGAGGTCATTCTATTTTTTTACCCGAAGCCTTAGACTTATAGAAAAAAAAAGCGAGACCGAAACTACTACCCTCAATCAGACCTACAATAGTTACATGCTCTAGTATACTAGTAGAGTTAGGATTGGATGCATCAATTACTGATGCTGTTATCAACTTCGGTAGAAACGATCAAATAATAAAGTGTACTGTATTATCTTGGATTTATTATTTGTTGTCTTATAATTTTCAAAAACTTTGATTAATACCATTGTTAGAATTCTTGTCATTGATGCGTATAATCTTTTCTGGGACCTAACATAACGCTAGTTGTGATACAACATGTGCGTTAACACAGCAGAACATGAAGAAGACTTGTACCATAGAATGTTTTGAGTTACGAAGTAAATCCCTTCTTCGAAATAGGTAAATCCGTTAATCCGCATTAGAATAACAAAATTGCTAGCTACACCTGGATATTGTCTTATAACTAAGTGTAGCTCTCGTGTATCATCATTACTCTGCAATCACAAAAAATGACATATTTAGGGATCTTGTAGAGTAATAGAATAGAATTAGAGATTGTTTCGTCCGGCTAGGAGGGATATACTGTATAAGCGAATTATTCATGTACTGTTCTATTATGATCATGATATAGTCAAAAAATAGATTGCCTATGGACAACAGGAGAGAGCGATTTTTCTTGTGTGTTGTTCCCTATTATAGTAAAAAATAGATTGACAATGGTCAACGATATAACTCTATGCCGTGTGATATCTACTTCGTACCCGTAGGGTAGGTGTATGGGAATTTTTCACTATACAAAGGATAAGGTCCCAAATATGCAATCGGCATTTGTACTTTGATCCGCTATTTGATGCGGGCAATGATTTATATTTATTTTGTTAGAATAATTTTATAAGTGGTCGATTATAGTTTATTTATACCAGAATACTGATGAACGAAATTAGTGTTGGCATATATAGCATTCAAAAACTTGGAATACTTGACGCAAGCAACCAAGGTTAATGCATTATATACAACTTTGTTGACAGATGGAATCTTCTCTCCGCTTGCGGAACAGTGCATCACGGCGGATTTATGAAATACCCTAAATTTGTCCGTCATGTCAAATTAAATAAATATTTGACAGTCTTTTAGTCACCAAATTTCCCAAATTTATTAGTGAACAGTCAAAAATGAGCCCTAAAAAATTTTTTTGTACCCCAAATCTTGCGTCTAACCAATTTTTCCGTTACCTAACCAATTTTTCCAGTGTTAAAGGTGCGTCACATTTGACATTTTTTAGGAAAAAAGCTTAATGTTTCTGTAAGTCAATTTTAATTCCCGAGGGCGCAGCAGGGTTTTTGCCAAATTTCATAAATCTGCCGCCATGGTATGAGTAGAAAATACGATAAATTTATTGCGCATGGCGTAGTGGATTGTCAACAGTGACATATGACTCGTATACCATTTCCCATCTTGTTTTAACGTGCTGCTTGCGATATTTAGATCAATTTTCTATATACCTTGTTGTACACAAATATCTATAATTGTTTCTTCGGACACAAAAAAATATTGTACCTGTTGTGTTAAATTGTTTTATTCGAATGGTATAGTATTTCAGACATGAGATTAACTAATTTATCTGAAGGACGCTAAAACATAGTATTACAATATGTTTGGGTGTCATAGTTAGATGACAATATTCCGATTAAAAGTTGACAAGAGAAAAATCCTGTTCACAGATGGGAAAGAAATGAGAATAAAATTCTTACATGTAAATTCTTAGTCATGATGTATATTATATAGGCTTACTGTAATATTTTTGTTTTTTATATTTTTACATATTCAGACAAGTTTGATCTAAATAAAATATTGTGTTCTTCGAGCTGATGAACTATATACTTTTTCTGTTTCAGAAACGAATTTGAACAAAAATTAAAAATATCATATAACTTTATTAAGTAATATAGAAACAAAAGACAAGCTGAGATACAACTAATCCTATGCTAATTAAATACACCAGTTATTTTTAACACGAAATTACTGAATACTATATTTAACAGTTCTTTGATGAATAAACTATCCATGGCTCTCTCATTTTCTTTTTCATCCACATTGTCTACGGATTTTTCCTTTAGAGCCTTACTCAATTCAATAACATTTAAGACAGTTTGATTTATGTTGTCTAACCGAGAATAACAACCTTTGGTATCAACTAGCCGCAATTTGTAATAAATATTAATATATACAATTTAAGCTGATATAACGTCTGAGATATATAATAAATCTCACTCTACCTTTAAACTGATCACTTTCCGCAAATAATTTTTTTTCCTACCGCCTTTTATGATACTGATTGTTAAACGAAACCTCGTTCAGTCTTTTGGTGAAAAATCGACTTATACCGATTGTTATACGAAAAATGGTTACTTGAGATCGTTCAGTAAAATTTTGCTGATTGGTCATATAAATCGACACATTTTTGCCAAATGGAAAAAATCAAAAAAATATGTTCTTTTTTAATTCGAATTTATACTTGTTTACATTGTTTATATTCAGTGCATAATCATTAACGAAAAATTTTAATTGTAAAAATGAATTTCAACTCGTCTTTCGTCAAGAAATTATAATAAAAATACTACAAAAGAATCTTTATTTGAAAATTTCGTAAAAATTTCGTAAAAATGAAATTTCGTCTAATAAACGTGTCTCTCGACAAGTAATTATGAAATTTTTTTTTTTTTAAAAAAAATAATAATAATTCGGCCGATTTTTACTAAAAACACTTAATTATTAACGAATTTGGAGTTTGCGATTAATTGGATTAATCGCCAAATATTCAATAGCATTACTCTGAGTAGAAATTCGATATTTTGATAGTATAAATCGACAAAGGATATTATGTACAGGAATAATACAATCGTGGCTTTCATCATAAAATTTAGATTTCTACAACTCGATGTTACAGCTCTCGTCTTCATCATCAATATGAAAATAATATCGACTTTCACTCGTACTAGCTGGTCGATACCAACGAATATATGCTAAATTATGTTCCATTTGTCCATTTGGCACGTCAACTGTATGTTTGAAGAAGTATTGAATTTGTCCAGGATAACTGTCGACTTCCCCATCACTAGTTATAAATTTGGCTAGGACATACGAGCTTTTTGTATGTCGAACTGACATTGCGGAGCCAAATACTTTGGAACCAATTCGGCATCTTCCAAATTGATTTATCTTTACTCGAATTGTTATAGAATCTTGGATAATTTCATCTGCTGATTTGCAAACTTGTACATTTCGATATAAGAAGCATTATAAAAAGCAACCATCAGTTCGAGCATTGATTCGGTCATTATTGCTTCGGAACTAGGCTTCAGCATTTCTCCAGGAAATGGCTCGCATCTAGTAATAGTCGATTCCTATATGTTTTTAGCATTTAGCCAAAACCACTCTAGTTCATCTGAAGAAAATTGGTCCGCAGCCGATATTGAACCAGTTGTGGGTCGATCTTCAAGCAATTCTAAACCTTTCGTTTGAATGTCAGAACTAATGATATCTCCAATTCAATTATCATTCATTATTCGACGCATTATTTCCAGTTCAATTTGTCTATTACTTGTTGGCAATGAGCCTTAAAAATTATTAAAAATAAGACTAACAATGTAAACATCTGAATAAAGTAAAAAAAGTAAAAAAAAAGAATATCTTACCGAGTATTCCATTCATACGCTCAAATGAAAAACACCAAAATGCATATAATGGACCAAAATCATTCGAACATACAATCGCACAAATGGAGCGAAAGGTAAAGATTAGGCATAATTTTTACTCTTCCATAGTGTACTTCAATAAGCTTAATTATTTTAATTAGCCTCTCATGAGCTTCTTCCATTAATTCAATTTCTAAAATTCGGCTTACTAAAATAAAACAAACTCTAACGAAATGTGTCAAGATTTTTCGATCTTTTGACGGTAAATGTTCCCACAATGAGGTAGTTGCATAGATCATAAAGAAAATTCACCACTGATCGGCTGTATAGTTTGAAAACCCTTCTCCGCGCTCAATATTTCCGGAAATTCGTCCTAAATCAGCCGGTATTTTGAATTGATTCATTTTTTCTTGAATCTTCTTTAGATCGTTCGGGGTTAAAACACCCTCGTTGATCCAAATCCTCTTCATTATCCACCTCGCAATTCCTAAAAATAAGCAGTGCATTGGATCTACAATAATAAAATGAATTGGGTCAAAGTACGGCAATCGAAGTAACTCCGACCACCTAACCCCTTTTTCACTAACGAAATTCTTTCTTGAATTGGTGGAATTGCAACTTCGCCATGCAAGAGCATTTCGACGATGTTCGGTCGAATCGCAAGTAATGAACCAATTTTCCATATCCTCCATACCTGCAAAATTATGTTGGTGGTCTTCATAATTTGCTCGTTTCATACACCGATGGCAAGAAACCAAAGCTGAAATATGCCCGCATATTTTCTGAGCAGTAGGGATATCGCACGAAATTAGTACTAAAGCTGCACGAATATTTTTCCCGTTTTGGCACTCAAATGTTCGATTTAAAGTTATTTCACTCCATAGTAACTCTAATTCATTGACAATAGGCGCAATATAATGATTAATCTTGTGCAAGCTTACTTCGTTCGGTTCTGGTAGTAGACCGAGAACCAGCAAATTTTCGCACTTGAACCGAATATCACGGGGTAAATTACAGATAGCCGCGTAAATTACCCCGATACTATAAAATGTACTATCGTAGGACTGGAACCAATCAAGGTTTATCATTGGTCCTAGATGTGAATCGGCTACTTCTGGTCAGAAAAATTTGGCTGAATTTTCATCGTCAGTTTCTCTGAATGTTTTCCAGATTTGACCGTCATATATATCGGTCAGTATGTTATCGAATTGTCGATGATTTAACCAATGTCGAAGTAACCGTTCAAAGTGAGGCCGACGATATAGAGCTTCCAATTGTTGATGAATCAGTACAAATGGATATATTAATTCTGGCTTTTTAACCTCTCTCTCAGCCAAGACCGTTTGACATGATTTCGTCCTTCAAGACGCAGAATTTGGAAATTCAATGTGACTGCATCTTATGATACCGATACTGTCATTTTTTTGAATTTCGTCCATGTCTGTCTTATTATATAATTTATGACATTTCAAACATGGCACGAAACTATGGAAACGATCTTTCAGGCCAAGTTGAATTCTTGCCAGATATAGAGAGTCAGGAAAGCTATCGTAAATGTCTCCACCGATTTCTTTTAACACTATTTTCATGAATTTTAGTTGAGATTCGGTCACTGTTTCAGGGAGATTGAACTTTTTTCGAAAGGTCATTATCCACAATAAAATCCATGAAAATTTATCATCTATTGTCGTTTTTTCTTCCTCTTGATATGACTTAAAATCTGGCGGTGAATAATTTTCAAAAGTATCGGCAAAAGTTCCATCATCTGACTCATTGCCATCAGAAGAAGAAGTATCAGTATGTTGTTCATAATCAGAATTGCTCAAATCTTCTGTTCCTGAATATTTGAGCATAATTTGTGGGTGATTTGCGTAGCTTCTTGTATGGCTTCGAGGTAAAAAAATATATTCATTTTCGTTGTATTCTGGAATTGTCGAATTATCTTTTTCATTTAATGGAATTGTTATCAAATCTTCTTTAAAAGGAGTTATTACCGAAATTTCTTCATTTAATGGAGATATCAAAATATCTTCAATCTTCATTTATCAGATTTTCTTCTAACAAAGTTATTGTCGAATCCTCTTCTTGATTAATTAGTAACAATGAAGCTAAACCACTATTAAGATTCGAGTCAGTTGTGTTTTCCGCCGCTTCGTGAAGCATTTTGGTTCATGTTACAACCAGTTTTCCATTACATTTGTCACAATAACAAGGGACTTTGGTTCTTTTTTTGCTAAACCTTCTAGAAGATAGTCGGTTTGCTATCCTTTCCGAACCCATAATTTGATTAATCGATCTTCTTCTCATCATGTTTTATAAAATTTGATAAAGAATCGGTTATAATTAATATGTATTTTAAAATTTAACGAAATTTTGACAAATAAAGTCAATTTTTCTCTTGAAAATTAAAATTTTATGAAATTTTTTTTTAATTTGAAAATTTCGGTTAAAATTGATCTGTTAGCAATTGATTTAATAAAAGTTTAATTTCGAGATTTTGATTTAGTCGATTTAATTAAATTTTCAATCATGAGAAATTTTTTTAATTTGAAAATTTCGGTTAAATTGATCCGTTAGCAATTGATTTAATAAAAGTTTAATTTCGAGATTTTGATTTAGTCGATTTAATTAAATTTTCAATCATGAGAAATTTTTTTAATTTGAAAATTTCGGTTAAATTGATCCGTTAGCAATTGATTTAATAAAAGTTTAATTTCGAGATTTTGATTTAGTCGATTTAATTAAATTTTCAATCATGAGAAATTTTTTTAATTAATTTGAATATTTCGGTTAAATTGATCCTTTAGTAATTGATTTAATAAAAGTCTAATTTCAATTAGACTTTTTTTAACAATTAATTAACTTATAAATCAAATTTCGGTTTTATTTTTATCAAATAAACTTTTTACCAGGAAAGCTTATTTTGAATTTATAAAGCTCCATCAATCGAATTTTTTTCGCAAAAATAATTTTATTTTTTCGATAAACAATTCTCGTAATTTTTATAAAATCTGCAATACATTTTTATATTGATCAACTTTTATATAAATCGAACAATATTTTTCGTCATTTTGAAAGAAAGTTCTACTTTATTTACTAATTTTACTATTCTTCTGTTTATTAAAATCTCTATAAAGAAT